CAGGTCAGAACCAGGTCAGAACCAGGTCAGAACCAGGTCAGAACCAGGTCAGAACCAGGTCAGGACCAGGTCAGGACCAGGTCAGAACCAGGTCAGAACCAGGTCAGGACCAGGTCAGGACCAGGCCAGCCTACAGCAGAAGGAAGCAGGCTGCGTTACTGAATCCAAACACTCTCACCTCTCCAAGCACTCGGAACAAGGAGCTCTTTCCGCAGCCGTTGGGTCCACAAACCAGAACATTGGTTCCGGACCTCACCTTGAAAACACACAGAAGAGAGGAGACATCATTCCACAGACGTTCTACAGGCATGAATGGGATCAGCTCGGTCCATAAAGTCTCAGCTAGGCCACAGCCCCCCACAGGTAACACCCTCACCTCAAAGGAGAGGTCTCTGATCAGCAGGTCACCATTGGGCGTGGCCAGTGGAGTGTGGTCAAACCTGTAGGACCAAAGAAAAGCAAAGATGAGTCTAGCAGAGAGAGCTGCGCTGGTACCCAGTGAGAAGGGGGACGTACTTGATGATGTTGTCTCTGTTGATAACCTGTCCACTTCCAGGAACCAGCAGGCTTTTCTCTGGACTCTCTGCTTCTAGGTGGAACAATAAAACACCATTCAGCTTCATGCTCACAGCTGATGTCAGAGCTGTGGTTGTGAACGTACCCCTCTCATGCTGGGACACCATGGTGCGTTCATATTTGCCAGCATTCAGCTCCTTTAGGACGGTCATCAGCTCCGTGATGCGAGCGGTGAACCTATAGGGACACAGAAACAGGCAGGGTCAGAGCCGGACGCCGTGTCTGTGGCGGCTTCCTCCAGCAGACCGCCCTGCATTCAGATCACACCTGGAACGCATCATCAGCTGTGTGAAGCTGACACTCCTCTGAGGTGAATAAGACAGCAGATGGACTGAGGGGGCAGGGCTTCTTTAAAATGGGCATTACTAAAGATTCAATAAATAAGATCTGCTGTTTCAGAGATATTATTCTTTAGGTCACATTTTAATTACAGCCGATGACATCATCATCCCAGCAGACCTTAGCGCTGAGCTGGTTTCCTGATATCAACTTATTGCATCACAGTCATTCCTGAATAGAACAGTGACTTCATTTACTGGCTGGAATGATTGTTTAATGTTTAGTGACCCTCTGCTTTGGACCTGCCGTTACCCCTGGCAACCCCATGTCATTTCCTGTCAGCATTTCACAATAAAAGCCCAGGTGACCCTCAACATCAGGGCCTAATGCCAAACGGTTCTCTGTGAACAACCTTTGAATCTCCTTGTGATTCAGCAGGACTTCCCCGTAAATCTCACTGCAGGAGGAACCAGCTGAGGAGGAACCAGCTGA